GACCAGCTGCAGACGAGAGAAGACGCTGACTAACTCCACAATACAGCACATCACAGTAATCCAAACGAGATGGAATAAAAGCGTCGATTACTGTTTCAAGATACGGCTGAGATAAAAAGGTCTTATCTTTGCCTTAAATGATAAAAACTGGACTTGACAGTAGCCCTAATTTGACTGTCTAATTTAACTGTCCCTAACCCAGGTTAGCAACAACAGGTTTAAAATACTCTGCCAGGGGTCCCAAATCAATAGCGGAGCGTTCACATGGTCCACTGGGACCAAACAGAATCACCTCAGTTTTTCTTGAATTAAATCTTAGAAAGTTCAGGGACATCGGAGACTTAATGTCTTCTAGAGATGCTAGAAGTGGCTTAATAGCAGTGGAAGGATAACCCATGCCTTCTGAGGATGGTTCCCTGTAAATATAATGAAAAAAGCAGAGGCCCTAAAATTGAGCCCTGCGGGACCCCAGACTGAAAGGCGGCGGAGGAGGACTCAAACCCTGAAAGGTTAACACTAATAGTTCTGTCAGAGAGATCAGACCTAAACCATTTCAAAGCCACGAATGCCTGCAAGATGGTGAAGCGAGACAGTAAAATGTTGTGGTCTACAGTGTCAAAGGCAGCTGTTAGGACAAGAACAACATGATTACCAGAGTCACAGGAACAGAGGAGATCACTGAAAGCCTTTAAGAGTGCTGACTCCGTGCTATGAAAGTTTTTAAAACCTGATTGGAAGACCTCTGGGACACCGAATCCATCAACTGGCGGTGTACAATTTTCTCTCAGATTTTAGACGTAAAAGACAACGTGGAGAGAGGTCTGTAGTTAGCCAACACGGTGTGGTCCAGGGCAGGTTTCTTAAGCCTGCGTTGTATGTTGGTTTCTCTTCTTACTTTAGCACCTTTGTGGTTCAGCTACCCAAGAATAAAGTTACGTTGAAACAAGCACACCATTGTTTTTCTTGTGACGTTACCAATAAGTTTGATGTGTCACATGACCCTCTTCCTATTGGAAAAACAAAAGTTGTATCCAAGATGGCCGACTTCTACATGGTCACCGCCCATCTTGAGGAGTTTGCCCCTCACATATACTAATGTGCCACAAACAGGACTTTAATATCACCAACCATTCCCATGTTGTTACGATGTATCCATAGAAATGCTCCACCCTGTACTGACAGCCAAATCTTTCTCTACACCTGGACGAAGCCCCACCCCCCACTACAGCCGACCTATACGGGTTTCCTCACCTGTACAGGTGGCGAGCCGTCGTTGCTGTAGCGAAACTCTCCTTCGTCGCCGGCGCTCACCTCCTCGTAGTCCTCCAGCATGCGCACCATCATGCCGCTCTTCAGGTTGTCCTGGACGTACTCCACGTAGGCGGAGCGGCAGGTGAAGTCCGAGCGCGTTTTGAAACCGTTTGCTTTCTTCTTTGGCGGTGTGGCGGCGGGGGCCGCGCCACCGGAGCTGGTGGTTAGAGTGACAGGGGAGGCGCAGAATCGAGGCTGAAAAATGGACCTGAGGACGGGGCGGGAAGCCTCCTCGCCTTGATCCTCCCCGCTAACCACAACTCCCGTGAGGTGGGCGGAGCCATCGAGCGGTTGGCGGTTACGGTCCCAGCCCATCACTCGGACCAGCTCCGAGATCAGGTTGGCCATGGCCATGGTGAAGTCAAACTCCCGCTGGACGCGGAGCTGCTCCGTCTGGTGGGCGGAGCTGCTGGAGGAAGAGGCAGGAGAAGGGCAAGCGTCCAGCTTTTCAGAGCCTGACTCCGCCCCCGCCGTGTTGAGCTTGTCCATCAGAGACGTGACGCACAGGTAACGCTTCACCAGGGAGAAGAGCAGCTTCCCGGGAATCTGAGCACACACAGTCAAGCAGGTTTACTGCAGCGGCGCCCCCTGCTGGGCGGGGCCACACCTCTGACATAAAGAAATGAGTCTTACCTGCGGCAGGTGAATACCCTCGAAGGAGATGCCGTGCTCCTCGGACGACGTGGTCTCGGCGAACAGCTCCAGCAGCGTGTAGCGGTTATCAAAGTCCATGTGTTGCTCGATGCCGTCCTGCTGGCTCAGAGACAGCAGCACGTACGCCCGGCTGCCTGCGGGCGACACAGCGGGACACGCCCTCAGCGCCTGACACGACTCGATAACAGATCAATAGGAGGCACTGGCCCATAAGCACACATTTACACTGTCAGCAGGGGGAGGAGCCAGGAGGGTGGAGGCGGTGTTTAACAGGGGCTTAAAACATCTGATCAACTTATTGATTAACTGATCTTTTCAGACCGTGTCAGAGTAAACGCGGCATCAGGCTCGACCCGCGTTAGCGCTCAAAGCTCTGAGGTGACGACGAACGAAGGAGGCGGAGCTTTAAGAGACGTCGAGCAGCTGAACGCAGAATAAACCTGAAAGAATCAAAGCTTTAGACAGATGTGCACCTCTGTTCAACGCCACCAGAGTCCATTCATAAAAACGCTCATTTTAGCCCGAGTGTGGAGCTGCTGCTGAGTGGCTGCCTGCACCGACAAGTGCGTTTCTGGACCCTGACCGGAGCAAGTGACAGGACGCACGCTTTAACGTGGCGGATGTAGACAGAAAGCTCCAGTGACTGCTCAGCTTCACGCTGCTGCGATCACAGCTTATTGATTATTAATCATCAGCACCGTTCTATCACTGATCATGTGACACCAGGGAGACGAGCAGCTTCCCAGGAACCTGAACACACAAACACGTTTACTGCAGCGGCGCCCCCTGCTGGGCGGGGCCACACAGGCAACATAAAGATCAGAGTACTGATCATGTGACAGGCGTTGATGTCACCGACTGTCAGAGGGAGCCGTCTACGCCAGGACTCCCTCCTCCATCAGTACGGGAGTTCAGAGATTCTCAGAACTTTCTTCTTCTGCTGCGACTCCAGCGCTGACGTGGAGAGACGTGAGGAGCAGTGTTGCTTCTCCAAGCAGGCATCAAACTGCTCCACGCCTTTGTGGCGTGTAAACATGGCGTGTAAACATGGCTGCTGTCCCTGCCTGAGGCCTGTTTAAAGGTTTGAGTCATCAGCCCTCGACGCTCAGGCGGCTTCTCCAAAGTCCAGATCTAAATCTTAAGGCGACCACGATCTCGCCGTCTTAACGTCAGCTTCACGCTTCTGTCTTTGATCATTCTGCTAACCTCAGCCGCGGTGACACAGTACACTGAACTTCCTGTACGCGAGGGCTCACCCAGTTTTTTCTCGAGTCAGCTGAACATTTTTGTTGCCACGGTGACGTGATGTCAGGCTGTCTGAGGGTTCACAAGCTAAAAACGTTAGTCCCAACATCATGACCGCCTCTGATTGGACATTCTCCCCGCTGGAAAACGCTTCTTCTCCCGAGTCACGATCTCGGCAGCTCGATCTCTGTCGCGGTTTCCCGCTGAACGTTCTCACGCGCTGACCAATCAGCAACACCTAAACACTGATGCAGCACGCCGCCGACCTCGCCGAGCTCTTGTATCTGAAACCAAACCCACTGAAAAACACCCCTCTGCTCCGATTGGTCAGCTGGTCAAAGTTTTATATTTTACGCCACATTTTAGAGCAAGTGGGGAGGAGGCGGCGGCGTAGCCTCGGTCTATCAGCTGATGATGCTCAGCACAAACAGCTGTGACGCAGAGCGCACAGACGTCATTGCTCTGATCGCTCCTCACGCTTCACTTCCCATTTCATTCATCACTTAAACTCCAGAGCGCCGCCGCCGCCCCAAACCTTAAAACACAACTGACGTCACACAGAAGACCCAGTCGGTCCTTTTTTAATATTCTGATGATTTTATCTCCCACAGCAGCTCCAGCTGTTAATTCACCAACTACCGCTGAGACTGTAAACGAACACCGGCGCCTGACCCACCTGAGGACTCTGAAACAAGCCTGCAGTACCCTCACAGCCCACCGGGGGAACTAAACCTGTGTCCGATCACAGCGCTGTTTAAAGACTGCTTACCTGCATCATGCGAGGCAAGCGCGCGCAGCATCTTCCCGGCGCTTCGCCTCGTCTGAGTCTCCTTGTTGCACAGCAGCTCCATCAGCAGGTTGAGCGCGCCCGTCTCCTTAAAGACGCCGACGAGCGAGCCGATGCTGGCGTAGGCGCTCAACACGTGGATGGTGTGCATGATGTTGATGGAGAAGTCGCTCTTCTTGGCCATCTGCTTCCGGGCTCGGCACACCAGGTTCTTCACGTCTTCCTTCATGTCCGACAGCTCCACCTCGTCAAAGGTGACGTCGGACGGGAACTCTGTGCCGCTTGAAATGCCCGAGTCGGACGCCTCGCCGCCACGCTGCTTCTCCTGCTGCAGGGGGCGCTGGGAGTCCATCTTCCTCTTGCCCAGCAGCGTGGGACAGTTGGCGTACACGTCCTCTGTCGACATCCACATCAGGATGTTTTCCGGTTTGGTTTCTCCAGACACGGTGCTCACGGACCCACCCACTCCGGAGCTGACGCCGACTGTCCCACCCGCCTCGCTGGCCCCGCCTCCAGAGGTGGAGCCATCGTCGATGGCGACGAGGCACCAGCGAATCAGGTATTCCGTCTGCCCGTCGTGGGTGCGTCGCTGGCGAATCAGCTCCTCGGGATACGCCTGCAGTTTCGGGCCGAGCTGGACCAGCAGGTTCCCATTGCGGCGTTCGCCAACCATGGTCACTGATGGGAGGAGCCAGAAAAGGAGAAGTGGTTATTCAAAGAAAAGAAGGTCGCTTATTCATGTTTCAGTAAACTTTACTGCATTCTGATGTCAAGACGTTCTAAAATGACCAAAAAAGGGACTGGACTGGAAAGTGGCAACCAATGATCTCCAAACCAAACTCCAGCCAGAAATCTGCAGATTTTATAATCGTTATTCTTTCGGTTCCTCTCTTTAAAACAATTACTCACTGAACATGTGTGTGAAGGAGGAGGACTTCTGAAATGAAAGTGAAAGAGTAAAATATGCAGGCCCAAAGAGAAATGCCTCAAATTTTAACTGTACTTTTGTGGCGGGAATAAAGTCATGCAAGACCACACCGAGTTTTATTGTATTCTAAAATGATCAAAAATGTAACTGGAGTTTGGTGTCAGAGTTAAAACAGTGTACAACCAGCAGGTCTTCTATGACTTCTCATATAAAGAAACTAAAATTAACCAGAATCCGACTAAAGTTTCATCAGGAGGCCACGAGAAAATGACATCACCTTTAGTATAACTCCGTTTTTGTTGAGAAAGAGGGAAAAAAGGAAAAGTTGATCAACCCAAAGAAAATCGTGAAAATAACTAAAATGACCAGAAAGTGAATGGAGCTGTGGCATAACGACAAGTAATACACGTGACTGTAGTGTGATGTCAGCGGTCACATCTGCACATTTCTCACTGGAATCTGAAGAATGTGCAGAAATCAAACTCACTGGATTTGATGGGGTGAACTCTGCAGATGTAACTGCAGCTGATAGAGAAGATCACTCTAACAGGATCACAACTCCGAGTGGATGTTGGTGTGAAATAAAACAGATGTGACGCTAGTTTGATGTCAGGGCAAAATTTGTGGATTTCTGACAGGAGTTTGGTGGGAGCACAAAGTCGGCTGGTTTCCAGTTGTGTTTCGGCCCTGGGACGATCCCAGTGCGTCTCCCCGCTGTCAGCTGAGCGTGCGCTCCAACGGCTGCTAGCTTCATCGGGCTACGTCTAAAACTTGGGTAAGAAGGGGACTAATTTCTGGAGTCACCCGTGCTCGCCGCTGCCCTGCCTTTAGCGCAGTGTCATTAATGAAGTCAAAGTGACTTTTCATTGCATCAGCTCACTGACAGTCCTGTAGATTCAGGAATTAGCCGGGCACTTGATTTTTTTTTAATCTGAACGCAACAAGCTAACACGGCTGCTAAGGCTAGTTTGCTGCCGCAGTTAGTTTCACCTTTAACCGCAAAAATCTGCGCTTTGTGCGCACTTTGTCAAAGCTGCGGTACGTTTTGTTGGTTAACCTGCCAGCTAACTACCCATCACACCTAACCAGCCAACTTTTACTCATGGTGAGCCATATGGACGGAGCACTCAAAATGTCACACCAAAGCCCGTGTAAAAAAAGCTCCATTTAACCTTAAACCGCCCGCTGATCAAACGCACTCACTCTTTTTCGCTCTATATAATATTCTAGTAAATTCGGCGCCTCCAACTTCCCGTTTTTAAATACAAGTTATAATGAAGTCTACATCCACAGTCTTCCGCTCTGCATCATCGTCACCTCAGACATACTTCAGAGGACGAGTCAACAGTTCCCGACTGAGCCCTGGTGGCGATAGCGTGCCGTATCAGAGTGCCGAACCGAAGCGAGCCACCGACAAGCTCGCCACACGTCTCAGACAAGGACGGGACTGCGCGTGTTTCTGCTCTCCGAAGAGCGTTTGTTCTGAATTAGCAGTTTTCTGAATGGAGTTCGGTGCGCCGCTCTCAGGGCGGCTCAGGGTGGGCTATGTGGATGTGAACGGAGGGCCTCCGGCAGGAAAGCGGTTCCGCGGGCATCCACGGCCCGGCCCGTAGGACCAGCCGAGTGTCAGCTAAGTCCGGCTTACCTACTGCGTCACAGGCCTTCCCCCCGCTCTGAGTGCCCCCCCTGGAGCGCTGTTTTCGCTTCCTTCCTAAGGTTTCGTTTCTCAGCCCGCCGGTGTGGCTCTGCTCGCTCTCAGCCAGAGCTCCGCACTCCTGGATGCGCATTTGCGCACTGTGACAGGAACAGCGTCACTAACGGCCTCTTCTTGGACGCACGCGCCGACACTTTTCTTCTTCGCTGGGTTCAAAACTACGGTTGAATGAGTAGCGCGCACCCCGCTGGACGGCAGTGAGACATCAGCCCAACGAGTCCAACAGGAAAGGCGAACACATCAGAGAGGTCTGTACAGGTGTAACTAACAGGTACACAGGTGCAACAAACAGGTATAAGTAACAGTGTAACCGCAGGGGGTCAGGTACAGGTGATATATATTAAGCTAAGGACTCAGTGTGAATGGAGGAAGGGCCTGGCTAACTCTTGCACATTAATATTATTATTGCTGTTTGGAGAGGAAAGCTCCAAAAACAAAAGTGTTCTGTTTTCTGAGTTACAGACATGGCAGTAACTCCTCCTGTCCCGGGGTCCTCCTCCGATGTACGAGCATCCCATTTCACACTGATTAAAGATTAAATATCAGTTTTTAATTTCTTGTATTTTCTTCATTTTTCACTACCTGACGCTTTCCCCTCAGTCTGCAGAGAGGAGCGCCTGGAGGCTCACAGGTGTGTGTGCTGCAGTCAGTGTTGGGAAGGTTACTTTTAAAATGTATTCCATTACAGATTACAGATTACATGCCCCAAAATGTATTCTGTAACGTATTCCGTTACGTTACT